CAATGGTCTACAAAAAAGTCAGAGGTGTCCAAACTCTGTCATGGAGTGCCGGTGTTCTGGGCCCGGTTTTTAATAAAATTGATCCAGATTTAGTAATCCTTTTTTTTGCAGTGCGTGATCACGTAATCCAGCTGACTCTTTGAGCCAGATTTTCGAAGCTACATCCGATTGGATCAATCTGATCTGGATAGGAACTTTTCAGGATCACTAAGTCTGGATAACCAGTGCTCAAATAGCATTGTAAATCACAATGTAGAACTTTAGATGTGTAAAAAGCAACAAGTAGAATAGCCAGTGTGGGGTCGATATAACTTTATTTTTATTTGGAAGACACACACATTAAAAAAAAAAAAACAACTAAAAACAGGAAAAGAAAAACACCCTATCCCAACACAAACACTGTACTTTGAGGATAATTGTAACAAGTTTCAAATATAGATGTATTGAATTACAAAAAAATACTTAATGTCAAAAACTGTACACAATAATTTCAGACTTCCTCATCTGATGTGGAGAGACCAGCTTGTCTGAGCATAGCCTTTAGGAGACGGATCTCAAGTCTGGCCTCGGTTTGCTGCAGCTTGGTCTGAGTCAGTTGTTCCTCTGCCAGAAGAAGCTGTGCTTCTGCCCTTTCAGTCTATTTTTGCAATTGTTGAAAGCGATTTACTTTTCTTTCGTCCGAGACCACCTCCCCGCTCTTCATGTTCGGCCGCGACACCCCCCACTGTGACACCCAATACCTCCACACTGCTGTTCATTGCGTCCGCGATACACCTCCCACCTTCACTTTTGTCCACGACAGCACCTCAGCCCCATCCCCCTTACTCTTCACTTTCATCCGTGACCCGACTATCCCCCCCTTACTCTTCACTTTCATCCGTGACCCGACTATCCCCCCCTACTCTTTACATTCGTCTGCGACACCCCCCACCATGACACCCAATAACCCCTGCACTGCTTTTCACCTTCGTCCATGACTAAACAACCCCTCCACTGCTTTTCACTGCTGTCTGCAACTAAACAACACTCCCCACTCTTCACTTTCATCCGCGATGCCCAACACTCCACAACACCCAATACCCCCCACTCCTTTTTACTTTAATTTACAAGTAATCAAGCACCCCTGCTCTTCACTCTCATCCGCAACACCCCACATCCCTCGCTCTTCACTTTAGTCCGTGACCCGACTACTCGGCCCCGTTTGTCCATGACCAAACACCCCCCGCTCCTGCTCTTTACGTTCGTCTGCGACACCCCCCACCGTAACACCCAATATACCTACACCGATTTTCACCTTCGTCCATGACTAACCAACCTCCTTTCTGCTTTTCACTTTCGTCCACGACGCCCAACACCCCACGACACCAAATACCCCCCACTCCTTTTTACTTTAATTTACAAGTAATCAAGCACCCCTGCTCTTCACTCTCATCCGCAACACCCCACGTCACTTGCTCTTCACTTTATTCCGTGACCCGACTACTCGCCCCTCTTTGTCCATGACCAAACACCCCCCGCCCCTGCTCTTTACGTTCATCTGCAACACCCCCCACCGTAACACCCAATATCCCCTGCACCGATTTTCACCTTCGTCCATGACTAACCAACCCCCCTACTGCTTTTCACTTTCGTCCACGACGCCCAACACCCCACGACACCCAATACCCCCCACCACTTTTTACTTTTGTTTACAACTAATCAACCCCTACCCCCACTCTTCACTTTCATCTGAGACACCCCACCTCCATCGCACTTTACTTTCGTCCGCGACCACCTCCCTGCCTTTTATGTTTGGCTGCGACACCCCTCACCATGACACCCGATACCTCCACACTGCTCTTCTCTTGCGTCCGCGACACACCTCCCCCCTTGACACCAACCTCACCCCTTCTCTCTTCACTTTCGTCCGCGACCACCCCCACCCTCTTCACATTCGTTCACAAAATCCCCTAACCCATTTTTAATTTGTGACTGCCTGATAACCAGTTACAGCACTCTCTTTAGATGACAGCCGGTCTGAACACCTCCCTGGTTACCTGCCCCTCCTCTACGATGGATGCTCATCTTTTTCAAACCCTGTGATATCTTAGAGTACAGCTGTGCCACTTTAAATTTGACCAGAGGAGAACTGGTAACACTAACTAATCCTGGTTCCTCCCAAGGTTTGTTCTCCACTTTCACCTCTTGTCAGCTCTAGCTTGCATGGATGGGGCTGGTGGAGCTGCTGTTTGGTAAATCATCCTTCAACAGTGACAATTGTATTAAACTGAACCGAACTTCAACATTGACACTTGTATTAAATGGACCTGAATTGGTTTAATTTAACTAGAACTACGCCAGTGTACTATCGCTGCTCTCCTGGCTGCCTGATATGCTGGAATGTTCCACCGATTTAAAATATTGTTATGGATTTTAATTTTCTTTATCAATGCAAACTGCTTTGACACAATTTAGATTGTAAAAGTAGAGATAAAGTGGACTTTATTTGACATAACCACCATAAATGATTGTTTTATTGGGCAATAATGGTAGTTTTAAACTGTTTAGTTTTAAAATTTTCTAGAAAGTTCAATAAAACTACAAAAAAATGAATTTTCCTTGATTTTTCAATGTTTTTTTGTCTTTTTAACAGAGCCCTAAAAAGATACCATGTCTGGAATTTGACTTGAAACTACAGCACAACACATGGTTTTATTCTTTCTTTAAGCATTGATATTGTGAAATATGACCTGAATTTAAGGTGCATCAATAATACATAAATTCCAACATGTCGCTGTACAGTAATGGTGTAGCATACAGTTGCTCCAACAACATAATTTCCATAGAGGTGTTTAAATAGGCTGACAGAAATATCAAATAGCTAAAAGGGCCATAATTACACTCTTGGGGTTTGTTCATGCAATAGATTTTTTTTTAATCTTTCCAGTATTTTCTGTCTATTTTCTTTTCTCAAGCAGAGCTGCAAAAGCAAACAGGCGCAGATGAAAGGTGCCTTGTTGGCGACGCAGGTCCATGTTTCCGCGGTGTCACTCCTCATTAGCTGCCAATGACTGACTCGGATTTGCCATGGAGGAGACAACCTCAAAATATCTGCCTCTGCAAATCTCTCGCACACAACATGTAAATGCTGGTGGGAACACCATAGCCCTGGTCTGAGAGAAACCTCGGATATAAAGAATGACAAAGCCGAAGACAGGTAAATTCCAAGCCCAGTTAAGCTGCTTTTTAAGTTTTATTAATGTCATACACTATTCCTTCAGGACAAAATGGAAGTTATTGCGTCAAAACAAACAACACAAACTAGCAAAATAGTAATATTTTGATGATCTACTGTATTTGGATTGTAATGGAATGCAATGTATAAAATACTGTTAAATTTATTATTTATTTTATGTTAAATACTATTGAATATACTATGGCCATTCTGTAAGCTAAATGGTACATTTTTAAAAATGACTATATGTAGTTGTGCTCAAAATTTCCGCTTCAAGAATTTGTTAAGGTGTGAATAATTTTGTGTATGCATATATATTGCATAAATGTTTGCATATATAGCTCACTAGACAAAAATCTAGCTGAAACTATTAAAATAACCCCACGCAAAAGCTTACTTCTTGGTTTTCCTGATGATTTACAAGTGCTTTTTCTGCTTTGTGATGGTTGTTCACGAGTCACGTTTGTTTTAAACAGTCAAACTGACTGCTGCTCTTCAGAAAAATCCTCAATCTCCTGCAGATCCTTCAGCTTCCAAATTCTTCTGCAGATGGACTATGAAGTAAACATCATTTTCCATATAAATAACAAGGTAACACTTTACTTTGATTGTCCATTTGAGTATTAGTAGACTGTCTGCTTAATATCTGTTGATACTGCTCCTTCAACAGACATAAGAAACTTTGCAAGTACATGCCAACTTACACTAACCCTAACCACAACCACAACCTGACATCTAGTTGCAATGCAACTTAAATTGAACAAATGGACCATCAAAATAAAGTGTGATAATAAATATTCATATCCTGAAAATGTTATTAGTGTAAATATATAAAAAAACTAAATATTTTTATTAGTAATATATATTAAGAACTTAATTTGTACAACTTTAAAGGTGGCTTTGTCAGAATTTTGATTGAACCCTCAGATTTCAGGATGTCAAATAGTTGTATCTCAGCAAAATATTGCAGCAGAACAATGATCCAAAATGAAGACTATAGTGCTACTAAAGACCAGACTTTGGAGTGGCCTAGTCAAAAACCTGACCTGAATTCAATTGAGATGCAAAAAATGCTTTTCTTACTTAGATTTTTTGTCTTGTTTCTAGTCCAAATATCTAAAAGTTCCTAAATCAAGTAGAATTTTCTAAACAAGCAAAACATATTGCCTTGTTTTGAGAAATATTATGCCAATATTAAGTGAGTTTTTCCTTAAAACAAGCAAAATAATCTGCCAATGGGGTAAGCAAAATAATCTTACGTTAAACGAAAAAACAAGATTAATTTGCTTACCCAATTGGCAGATTATTTTGCTTGTTTTAAGGAAAAACTGACTTAATATTGGCATATTATTTCTCAAAACAAGGCAATATGTTTTGCTTGTCTAAAAAATGCTTCTTGATATAAGAAATTTTAGATATTTAGACTAGAAGCAAGACAAAAAATCTAAGCAAGAAAAGCATTTTTTGCAGTGCAAGAACTTAAAAAAGGTGGTTAATGCTCAAAAACCCTCCAATGTGAGCGAATTAAAACAATTGTGCAAAGATAAGTGGGCCAAAATTCCTTCACAGAGCTGTAACAGACTCATCTCAAGTCACCGAAAATGCTTGATAGCAATTGTTGCTGCTAAGGGTGGCCCTTTTCCCTTAATAATAAAAACATTCATTTCAAACATGGATAACGTGTTTACTTGTACTATCTTTGACTAAAACTTAAACTAGTTTGATGATCTGATACATTAAAGTGTGACAAACATGCAAAAAAAGAAATCAGTAAGGGGGCAAATACTTTTTCATACCACTTTCACTTTCACTTTCCATTTTTTATCAGATAGTCAATTTGTTATCCTAACATTAACTGCACAAATGCAGAAGACACGCTATGGCTGAAGAATTGACAACTCAAATGCTCCGCCCGTGTCAAACGTAGCTCAGATTGAATGTGCCGTATGACCTTTACTATTGTGTGGAAAACACAGGGACATGTGAGGAGAGAGGATAGATTTCTGGCTAAGATCTCTCTCAATCTAAAGCAGGTGCAGATGGTCTTAAACACATTCAGACATGTTTAATGTGGGATATTTTACAAACACATGTAGGAAAAAAATGGTCACATATTAACAGTTCCTGTCTGATGTGGAAATACCTATGATTAGATTTAAACTAAGGGATTTGAGGCAAATATGTGGCATGATGGATGCTTTTATAGGCACTGACAGATCTCATGAATGCAAGACTCACACTCAAAGACTCAAATTTGGAGTTTATATTTAACCTGAACAAGATGTTAGAGGCTTCAATGCAAAAAAATAAAAAAAATGGATTATTATGACTTTAACAATAATGCAGCACAAAAGGAACATTAAAATAAATAATATTCACACATCATTCAAAATTATTATTTAGTTTCAATTTAAAACTAAATATATATTTAACAACTTTCACAGGGGAAAGTTCAGAAGCTGCTGTGTTTGGCCAGGTCTTTCTTCATTTCGTCATACTGAGCACTGAGTCTGCCTACAGCTTTAGCATGCTCCTCATCCACCTGCTCCTTCAGACGGCACTGCTCTTTCTGGAACTCTTCCCAGTCCCGCTTCCGCATCTCTGCACACACCTGCAGATGTGTGCTCTGGACACACACAATGTGCCAAACACATATTATTACACTTGACATGTATTATGACCATAACAAATAGCTAGCTAATGCATGCTATACAGTCAAATGCCTCGCCTTTTTTATTGTTTTGAAAGAAGATATATTTTAATTATTTTACTATAGTCTGCTACATTGCTACATAAGTATTTTTGTTTGACTTAAGAACTTATTACTATTTTTTTTATTATTATTATTTATTATTATTTTAATATTTATATACACACACACACACATATATATATATATATATATATATATATATATA